ACACACACACACACACAGACATGCACACACGCACATATACACACACACAGACATGCACACACGCACATATACACACAGACATGCACACACACACATACATGTATACACACACAGACATATATGCACACACACAGACACACACAGACATATACACACACACATACACACACAGACATATACACACACACATACACACACAATCACAGACACACGCATTTACAGACACATGCATACACAGACACACACACATACAGATGTACACACATATACAGACACATGCACATACACACACACACAGACACACACATATACACACACACACACACACATATACAGACACACACACACATATACACAGGCAGACAGACACACACATACATATACAAAGACACACAGGCACAGACACACATACAGACACAGATATACACAGACACATATACACATACACCCATACACACACACACAGACACACTCACATACACAGACACACGCACGCATACACAGACACACACGCATACACAGACACACATATACAGACACACATGCACATACACACATACACATACATATACAAAGACACACAAACACAGATACACACACACGTGCATAGACACAGGCACACACACACAAACAGACAGACAGACATACACACGCACACATACACACAAACAGACACATATACACACACAGGCACACATTCACATGCACAAATAATTGTACATACACGCTCACATTCACATGCACACAAATATACACATGCGTGCGCACCTACATTTTGATACACATGAACACACACACATCTCACACATTTCACTTTTCTGCCAGCCAGCTAATATGTTACACCCTACACCATGAGCTCTTATTTTCTGCATAACCTTTGATATGGCTCCATTTCAGAAAATCCTGATAAAGTGGAAGTGGGAATGTTTGCTGACGATTGCACAGTGTTCAGCAGCATTTGCGACTCCTCTAAATAAATAAATAGATACTAAAACAGTCCATGGTCAAATGCATCAAGATCTGGACAATGTCCAGACTTGGGCCGACAAGTGGCAAATAGCATTCATTGAGTCAGAGAGCCATAGAGTCGTACGGCACAGAAACATACCTTTCAGTTTAACTCATCCATGCTGAACAGGTTTCCTAAACTGGACCAGTCCCATTTGCCTCCGTTTCGCCCATATACCTCAAATTTTCCTATTCATGTACTTGTCCAAGTGTTATAATTGTACCCATCACTATCACTTCCTCTGGCAACTCATTCTATACCTGCACCACACTCTGTGTGAAAAAATTGCTCCTCAGGTCCCTTTTAAAATTTTCCCCTCTCACCTTAAACCTATGTCGTCTAATTTTGGACTTCCTTACCTTTGGAAAAAGACCTTGGCTATTCACCCTATCCATGCTCCTCATGATTTTAGAAACCTCTATAAGGTCACCCTTCAGCCTCTGATGCTCTAGGGAAAGAAATTCCCAGCCTATCCAGCCTCTCACAATAGCTCAAGCCCTCCAACCCTGGCAACATCTTTGTAAATCTTTTCTGCACCCTTTCAAGTTTCACAACATTCTTCCTATAGCAGGGAGACCAGAATTGAACAGAGTATTCCAATAGTGGCCTAACCAAAGTCCTGTAGAGCTGTAACATGATCTCCCAACTCCTGTACTCAATGTACTGACCAATAAAGGAAAGCATACTAAACGCCTTCTTCACTATCCTATCTACCTGTGACTCCACTTTCAAGGAACTATGAACCTGCACTCCAAGGTCTCTTTGTTCAGCAACACTCCCCAGGACCTTACCATTAAGTGTGTAAGTCCTGCCCTGATTTGCTTTTCCAAAATGGAGCACCTCACATTTATCTAAATTAAACTCCATCTGCCACTCCTCAGCCCATTGGCCCATTTGATCAAGATCCCATTTTACTCTGAGGTAACCTTCTTCGCTGTCCACTACACCTCCAATTTTGGTGTCATCTGCAAACCTACTAACCCCCCATCCCTCTTATGTTCACATCCAAATCATTTATATAAATGAGGAAAAGCTGTGGACCCAGCACCAATCCTTGTGGCACACCACTGGTCACAGGCCTTCAGTCTGAAAAGCAACCCTCCACCACCACCCTCTGTCTTCTACCTCCGAGCCAGTTCTTTATCCAAATGGCTAGTTCTCCCTGTGTTCCATGTGATCTAACCTTGCTAACCAGTCTACCATGAGAAACCTTGTCGCATTCCTTACTGCCATTCACTTACTTTGTCAAAAGTGCTAAACACATTCAGATACAGAGCCTTTAGTTTTAATTCCTAAGATCTAGTCTTGGTTCTGTTTTCTCTCTGCCCCTTCCTGCTATTTTCTGATCCTCATTTCCCATGTTACTGTTTCCCTCTCTTACCTTGTCTACTCTTATGTATCACATCTTTCCATGTTTGATTCCCTTCCCCACATACTGTATTTAAAATCCCCCCTAACTTTGTTACAACTCACTGGGGTAGAGTGCAGAAAATCAAATTCTGCACCATCATTCAATACAATCATGGCTGAGCTGATTTTAAATCCAGCTGTAAATTCATGCAAATCTTTTAAACTCTTTCATCCTGGCAATCAACAATCTATCTACCTCCGCCTTAAAAATATTCAAAGAACCTGCACCCACTGCTTTTTGAAGAAGGGAATTCCAAAGACTCAAAATATTCGGAGAGCCGAAATGTTCTGTTTGAAATGGGTGTCCCCTTATGTTTGAACTATGACCCCCTTGTAGATTCTCCCACAAGAGGAAAATCCTTTCCACATCCACCTGGTCAAGTCTCATTGTGATTTTAAGTGTTTCAATTAAGGTACCTCTGACTCTTCTAAACTCCAGAAGATACACAAAACTAGATGTCACAAAACTACACATAATTTCTCGATTTACCTGCTTTTCAGACCCAGATTGATAGAAAGCATGGATTAAGTTTCTGTATTGAAGATTATTGTTGATTACAATAATTAGACTCTAAATACAATAGTTATAATCCATCAGCATAATATACATTACTGATTAAAACTCTAATCTCCATGGTGAGACTCCACACCCAATTTCAGTGGAAACCAGAGATAGTAGGAACTCCCGATGCTGAAGAATCTGAGATAACAAGGTGTAGAGCGGGTTGAACACAGCAGGCCAAGCAGCATCAGAGGAGCAGGAAGGCTGACGTTTCGGGCCTAGACCCTTCTTCAGAAATGGGGGAGGGGAAGGGGATTCTGAAATAAATAGGGAGAAAGGGGGAGGCGGATAGAAGATGGATAAAGGAGAAGATAGGTGGAGAGGGGACAGACAGGTCAAGGAGGCAGGGTTGGAGCCAGTAAAGGTGAGTGTAGGTGGGGAGTTAGGGAGGGGATAGGTTGGTCCAGGGAGGACAGACAGGTCAAGGAGATGGGATGAGGCTAGTAGGTAGGAGATGGGGGTGGGGCTTGAGGTGAGAGGAGTGGATAGGTGGGAGGACAGGTTAGGGAGACGGGTACAAGCTGGGCTGGTTTTGGGATGTGGTTGGGGGAGGGGAGATTTTGAAGCTTGTGAAGTCCACATTGATACCATTGGGCTGCAGGGTTCCCAAGCGAAATATAAGATGCTATTCCTGCAACCTTCGGGTGGCATCGTTGTGGCACTGCAGGAGGCCCAGGATGGACATGTCGTCCAAGGAGTGGGAGGGGGAGTTGAAATGGTTCGCGACTGGGAGGTGCAGTTGTTTGGTGCGAACTGAGCATAGGTGTTCCGAAAATGGTCCCCAAGCCTCCACTTGGTTTCCCCGATGTAGAGGAGGCCACGTCTGGAACAGCGGATACAGTATACCACATTAGCAGATGTGCAGGTGAACATCTGTTGATGTGGAAGGTCTTCTTGGGGCCTGGGATGGCGGTGAGGGGGAAGGTGTAGGGGCAGGTGTAGCACTTCCTGCAGTTGCAGGGAAAAGTGCTGGGTGTGGTGGGGCTGGAGGGGAGTGTGGAGCGGACAAGGGAGTCACGGAGAGAGTGGTCTCTCCGGAAAGCAGATAGGGGTAGGGAGGTCCTCGTTTTTCAAGGACCGCAACTTCCTCCCCACAGTGGTCGAAAATGCCCTCGACCGTGTCTCTTGCATTTCCCACAACTCATCCCTCACAGCCCCTCCCCGCAATAATAACCAAAACAGAATCCCCCTCATCCTCACATACCACCCCACCAACCTCCGGATCCAACGCATCATCCTCCGACACTTCTGCCATCTGTAATCCGACCCCACCACCAAACACATTTTTCCCTCCCCACCCTTATCTGCTTTCCGGAGGGACCACTCTCTCCGTGACTCCCTTGTCCGCTCCACACTCCCCACTAGCCCCACCACCCCTGGCACTTTTCCCTGCAACCGCAGGAAGTGCTACACCTGCCCCTACACCTCCCCCCTCACCCCCATCCCAGGCTCCAGGAAGACCTTCCACATCAAACAGATGTTCACCTGCACATCTGCTAATATGGTGTACTGTATCCGCTGTTCCCGTTGTGGCCTCCTCTAAATCGGGGATACCAAACGGAGGCTTGGGGACCACTTTGCGGAACACCTATGCTCGGTTCGCACCAAACAACGGCACCTCCCAGTTGTGAACCATGTCAACTCCCCCTCCCACTCCTTGGACGACGTGTCCATCCTGGGCCTCCTGCAGTGCCGCAATGATGCCACCTGAAGGTTGCAGGAACAGCAACTCATATTTCGCTTGGGAACCCTGCAGCCCAATGGTATCAATGTGGACTTCACAAGCTTCAAAATCCCCCCTCCCCCAACCACATCCCAAAACCAGCCCAGCTTGTACCCGCCTCCCTAACCTGTCCTCCCACCTATCCACTCCTCCCACCTCAAGCCCCACCCCCATCTCCTACCTACTAGCCTCATCCCACCTCCTTGACCTGTCCGTCCTCCCTGGACCGACCTATCCCCTCCCTAACTCCCCACCTACACTCACCTTTACTGGCTCCAACCCTGCCTCCTTGACCTGTCTGTCTCCTCTCCACCTATCTTCTCCTCTATCCAACTTCTATCCGCCTCCCCTTCTCTCCCTATTTATTTCAGAACCCCCTTCCCCTCCCCCATTTCTGAAGAAGCGTCTAGGCCCGAAACGTCAGCCTTCCTGCTCCTCTGATGCTGCTTGGCCTGCTGTGTTCATCCGGCTCTGCACTTTGTTGTTTCAGCGGAAACCAGTCTCCTTTTAGTAGACTGACAGTATTGAGTAACTTGTAGCACTGAGTTTTTGTCTTTTCCACAGAAAGTGGGCATCTCTGGCCAGGTCAGAATGTATTGCCTTAACTGTCTTCAAGAATATGTGGTAAGCCCCTGGAGTCCACATTTATCCATGTCCCTGTGGGGCTGCACTCTCATTGGAGAGAGACAACAGGTGCTGGTTTAACGTGAGGGTTACCACACTTTGGGCAAGGGGAAGCAGTTGAGAAGGAGTAACTTTAATGGTAACCTTAGCTGGTGCAGGAATTGAACGCATCATGGGCATGACACTGTGTCGCAAACTAGCTGTCCAGCTAACTGAGCTAACCAACTATCACCTGAGCATTTGCTGCGCCATGGTAGTTCACAGTCAGCCACATTGGGCTCGAGTGTAGGTCAGACCGGGTTAAAGCGGAGATTTCCTTCCCTAAATGACATTTTTATACGAGATGGGTTGTTACAGCAATCCAGTAGATCCTTGATAACATTCTGGAGACCTGGGTTCGAATCCCGCCACGGCAGATGGTGGAATTTGAATTCAATAAAATACCTGGAATTAAGACTCTAATGATGATCATAGAATCCCTACAGTATGAAAACAGGCTCTTCGGCCCAACAAGTCCACACCGACCCTCAGAGTGTCCCACCCAGACCCATCCCCCTATAACCCACCTCATCTACACATCCCTGAACACTATCGGCAATTTAGCATGGCCAATCCACCCAACCTGCACATCATTGGACTGTGGGAGGAAACCAGAGCACCCGGAGGAAACCCACACAGACACGGGGAGAATGTGCAAACCCCACACAGTCGCCCGAGGGTGGAATTGAACCTGGGTCCCTGGCGCTATGAGGCAGCAGTGCTAACTACTGAGCCACCGTGCAGCCGTCACAAATCCATTGTCGATTGTCAGAAAATCCCAACTGGTTCACTAATGTCCTTCAGGGAAGGAAACTGCCATCCTTACCTAGTCTGGCCTACATGTGACTCCAGACCCACAGCAATGTGGTTGACTCTTAACTGCCCTCTGGGCAATAAATGCTGCCTAGCCAGAGATGCCCTCATCCCGTGAATGAATAAAGGAAATAAAAATGCTCATTATTACTAAGTCTAGCAAAATTATTCCAGTTTCATTATTTTATGGAATTTAAATTCCTCCAATAGCTTTATTTGAAGCTAATTATTGCAGATGTTGGAAAACTGAAATAAAAACAGAAATAGCTAGAAATTGCCAACATTTCAGGCAACATCTGAGGAGAAAGAAAAGCAGTGTTTTAGGCCAGTGATCTTTTTCACAAGAGCACCGCAGTGTTTTGGAGATGAGCAATCCTAGTTTTCCCTACCCATTGCATGAAGCACTGCTTCCTGATCTCACCGCTGAAGGATCTAGCTCTAATTTTAATGCTGACCCTTACCCCGACTCATGTTTCGGCCATTCCCCACCACCAGGAAACAGTTTCCCTCCATTGAACTAAAACAATGTTTGAATTACGTCTAACAATCTGATCACGAATTGGGATTTCAGATGCAGATCAAGAGACTGCAAGGAAACATATCAAAGAAGTTCTCCGAGTGGAGGAAGAACCTGGAAGAAGACGAAGAGAATGTGCTGAAGATGATTGATGAGGAAGGAATTCGACTGACAGCTCAGAGCAGCAACTGTTCCAAAACATTAAATGAGAAGATGGATTTGATCAAACTGTTAGACGACGAGGCACAGAGTCTGACACAAAGTGATCGTCTGTCATTTTTCCAGGTACCAAATATCTGCCAGTGCCATATTTAGCATGGAAGCCATCTTTGTAAACTTGTCCTCCTATCAAAGGGGGCACTTTACTGCCATCACTGGTTGGATGTAGTAATTACAGCAAGGCAAGTTGATTCTCGGCCCGAAACGTCAGCCTCTCTGCTCCTATGATGCTGCTTGGCCTGCTGTGTTCATCCAGCCCTGCACCTTGTTGTCTCAAGTTGATTGAGGCATGTGACCATTGGAGTTTGTAATGCAAACATATACACTGAAGACAAAATTGACCTCAAAATGGGAACTGAATAGCCCACTCTACACTGTAGCGTATCTATCTGAAAATTAGACATGGCTTGCCTCTCAAATGTAATACCATGGGAGGTCAACTAAATGTCGTTGGAATAAATGCTTATTTTCTGCATTCAAATTTGAACTTGTTCTTCTAGTTCACACTTTTGCATCAATATTTTTAAATTCCCTTTGTCCAAATTTATAATGGAAACTGGCAATGTCAACATGTCACGGTGTAATTACAGCCTCTTACCAGAGATGGCACCACAGCTCCTTTATTGCTCCAGCTATTGTCTCTCCGTTTGCTGCAGAAAAGTGCTTACATTCTAACCAATTCTGCCTCCTGAATTGCTATTAGTTTTCAATATGTAATCATATATAAAATGCAAAATTTGTTTAAAAATAAGGAATAAAATGTCCAGCTTTAAATGGGGTCTGCATTATGTCAGCATAAATTTACTAAACTTACTCCCTAATCTTTAGCCTGCTTTGACCTGAATATTGTACATTCATTGACTCGTCATTTGCAACCCACTGGTATATTAAAGCTGTACAGGCTACACTAATTATCAGCTCACAAAATTTAATGTGACCATAAAAGCTTATTTTTATGTTAACAGGCAAGTCCTGGTGTTGCTATGGTTACACGTTGAGGTTTGTATTGTGCTTGTGGACAATGCTGGAGCATCACACCTGACCCAGATAAATACCAGTGCCACCTCAGGTTCATGAGTGACCCTCTAGGAAGGAAATCTGCCATCCTTGCCTGGTGTTACATATGTAACTCCAGACCCAATGAGTGAACCTTAACTGCCCCAGTGAATCATAGAATGCCTACAGCACAGGTACAGGCCATTCAGCATAATCAAGTCTACACTCACCCTCTCAAGGACATTCCAACCCTATCCCTGTAACCCCATATTTCCCATGGCTAACCCACCTAGCGTGCATACTACGGGGCAATTTAGCATGGCCAATCACCCAACTTGTACATCTTTAGACTGTGGGAGGAAACCAGACCACCCAGAGGAAACCTACGCAGACACAGGGAGAACGTGCAAACTCCACACAGACAGGCACCCAAAGCTGGGATTGAACCTGGGTCTCTAGCACCATGAGGCAGCAGTGCTAACCACTGAACCGTCATGCCACCTAACGAACCTGTCAGTTCAAGGGTAAGTTGGCATGAGCAAAAAATGCTTGACAGCAGAACTCATATTCTGTGAATGATGATAAAGAAACTTTGACAAACACGTCCACCACTTACTCTGCGTCTCATAACTTTAATACGAGACTAACGTTCTTTTATCTCAGTGTGATAACTTAATGCTCTAACCTCTTTCTCTTTCTCCCCTACAGAAATCTAAACAGCTCCTTTCCAAGTAAGTTTCGTTTAGTTGAACAGTTAGTACTGACTTAATGCTCAGGACTGTGCCCTGGACTACTGGAACAGATGCTGAGGTTATTAAGTCCTTGCACAGTCCTCGTGAAGATGTGGTTCTGCCTTCACATCGAGAATACCCTCCATTGTGTGGTGTGGCACTATCACTGCACGAAATGGGGACTGACTTTGAACCGATCTTGTAACTCAACTCTGGGCATCCATGAGGCGCTGTGGGCTATCACCAGCAGCAGAATTGTACTCCAGCACAATCTGCAATCTCATGGCCCGGCATATCTCCCACTCAACCATTACCATCAAGCCAGGGGATCAATGGAGAGTGCAGGAGGGCATGCCAACAACAGCACCAGGCATACCTGAAGATGAGGTGTCGACTTTGTGAGGCCCCCAAACAGGACTAACATGGAAACTGTCAAGGTTAGGTGATCCCAAAACGAACAGTACAGTCTGTCAGACCCAATCATTAATAGTGGTGGACAATTAAGTAACAGGAAGAGGCTCCAAAAAGAAACCCTTTCCTCAATGGGCGTCACTGAGCAGGTTATTGCTGAGCAGGTGCTGCTTGATAGCACTGTTGATGACACCTTCCATCACTTTACTGATAATTGAGAGTAGACTGATGGGGAGGTAATTGGCCGGGTTGGATTTGTCCTGCTTTTAATGCACAAGACATACTTGGGCAATTTTCCACATTTTCGGGTAGATACCGGTGTTGTAACTGTACTGGAACAGCTTGACTAGGGGAGTATTTTTTTGAAGAAGGGTCTCGACCCAAAACGTCAGCTTTCCTGCTCCTCTGATGCTGCTTGGTCTGCTGTGTTCATCTAGCTCTACACCTTGTTATCTCTTGACTAGGGGAGCAGCAAATTCTGGAGCACAATTCTTCAGTACTATTGCCGAATGTTGCCAGGGCCTGTAGCCTTTGCAGTATTCAGTGCCTTCGACCATTTCTTGATATCACATGGAGTGAATTGAATTGGCTGAAGTCTGGTATCTGTAATGCTGGGGACCACTGGAGGAGGCTGAGATGGATCATCCACTCTGCACTTCTGGCTGAAGATTGCTGTGAAAGCTTCAGCCTTATGTTCTGCACTGATGTGCTGGCCTCTTCCATCATTGAGGATGGGGATATTTGTGGAGCCTTCTCCTCCAGTGAGTTGTTTAATTGTCCACCACCATTCACAACTGGATGTGGCAGGACTGCAGAGCTTAGATCTGATCCGTTGGGTGCGGGATCGCTTAGCTCTATCTATCACTTGCTGCTTGCGCTAGTTGCTATGTGAGTAGTCCTGTTTGATGCTGCACCAGGGTGACACCTCATTTTTAGGTACGCCATTTAAGGCAGAGATGTGGAGGAATTTTTTTCTCTCAGAGGGTAGTGAATCTGTGGAATTCTTTACCACAGAGGGCTGTTGAGGTTGTTAAGTACATTCAAGGCTGAGACGGACGGATTTTTAATTAGGAAGGGTTATGGGGAAAAGACAGGAAAGTGGAGTGGAGGATCATCAGATCATTGAATGATTTGATGGGCTGAATGGCCTACTTCTACCCCAACATCTGTGGTGTTGCTCCTAGCGTTTTCTTGCCCTTATCATTGAATCCTGATTAATATCCCCATCTTGATGGTAATAGTGTGGGGGATATGGCAGGCCATGAGGTTACAGATTGTAGTCAAATATAGTCCTGTTGCTGCTGATGGCCCACAGTGCCTCATGGATGCCAAATTTTGAGTTGCTGGACTTGTTCATTCCACGTGGTGGCAATGGTGCACAGAGCAATGGAAGGTATGCTCAAGGGAAAGATGGGACAGTAGCTCCATATCAATTGTGTGGCGTCACTCCCACCGATATTGCCATGGACAGAAGCATCGGTAGATTGGTGAGAATGTAAGTTTTCCCGATTGGAACTGAACTGGAATTTCTGTCTTGGTCTTCCTTCACTGTCACGAGGACAAAAGTCCAGGAACTGTGGCCTTATAGCTCTATGGCTGTACTCACATCAGAAGGACCGCTGTGGTTCACGCAGATGGCTTGGCACTATCTTATCAAGGATGAGCAGTAAATGCCAGTCTTGCCAGTCTTGCCAGGATGCCTAAATCCTACAAATGAATCAAAGTATATTATTTAGCTCACCACCACCCTCTCATGGTCAACTAAGGATGGGCAATAAATGCTGGCACAGCCAGCAACACCCAGGTCCCATGAGTGAATTTTTAAACAAAAATCAATTAGATTGTCTCTTAATTTGGAATACCCTACCTGCAAAGGTCATGGAAGTGAAGTTGATCATCACTTCCAAAGGGAAATGGAAACATACGCAGGGCTATGGAGACAGAGCAGTGTGATGTGGTGAATGTGCTTTGAAGGAGCTTTCACAGATACAATGGGGCAAATCACATTCCGCGGTCTATCACTCTCTGATTCTACACAGCATCTCCAAAAAAAGTAGCTTGCCATCAAATTGAACCTGACCTTATTTTTGCGGAACACCTTGGATCAGTTTGAAAGTTGCTGTATAAATGCTGTTGTTTGAAACAAAGACAATGCTTCCTCCTCCATTTCAGGGCAACAGAGCTCCAGAACCAAAAAACACTGATTGATCAGAGGGATACGTTGAACATTCGTTCTATATCTGAACAAGTCAAGGTGATGATCGATAAATCGATGGCATACTACTCGATTATATTGAACATGATAGGTAAGAAATTGAAACCTGGAAAAAAGTTAAAGATCCCACAATTTGTTCACATCTGGGCAGTGTCCTTAAACAGTGAAAGAAAGGAGGCAGACTCTAGCAGAGGCTGAAACTTTCATGGAAACAGCCAGTCAGACAGAGATAGACATAGATTTGTAGACACAGACAGACTGTCCCCTCGATACTCAATGGGGTTACTCGATGGGCTGAATGCTTCCACACGGTAGTGATTCTATGATTCCCCTCCAAGCCACTAACTGTCGTGACTTGGAAATATATCACCATTCCTTCACTGTCACTGGGTCAAAATTCTAGAATTCCCTCCCAAAGGGCATTGTGGATCAACCTACAGCACATGGACTGCAGTGGTTTAAGAAGGCAGCTCACCACCGCCTTCTCGAGGGCAACTAGGGACGGGGCCAGCCAACAACACCCACATCCTATGAGTGTAAAAAAAAATTACAAACAGATCCTAAACCAGTAGAGACCAAAGCACCATTTGGCCTATTAGGTTAATGTTGGCTTTTCAAAGAGTTGGTTAGTCCCACTGAACACTAGAATGGAAGAATGAGTAGACCATGTGGCCCATTCAAACTGCTCTGCCTTTTGACCATGGCTAATCTTGGGCTTCAGCTCCACTTTTTCACTTGGGAGCTCGTGAATGGTCAGCTCTGGTTCAGTTGGTTGCACAGTCACCTCCAAGTTTAGAAGGTTGAGGTGGGATCAGGTTCCCCCTGACACTTAAACACAAAACTGTAGGTTGAACGTGCAGCACCGAGGGAGTGCTGCACCATTGACGATGCTGCTGCTCTGCCTAGATGCTAAACTGAGGTTCCTCTCAAGTGAATGTTGAAGATCCTGCGGCAGTATTTCAGAGAAACATTTTCCTTGGTGTCTTGGTTAATGCTTATCTCTCAATCAGCATGTCAAGAAACAGGTTATTTACTTGTTAGCACGTTGCTACTTGTGGGAGCTTGCTGTGCTCATAATGCCTGTTATATGTCCTTGGCTGATACTGGAGATGGCAGGACTGTCCTATGAGGAGAGATTGGTTTCACTGGACGTGCATTCACTAGAGTTTAGAATGATGAGAGGGGAATCTGGTTGAAATGTATAAAATTCTTACAGGGCTGGACAGACTAGATGCAGGGAGGATGTTTCCCCTGGGTGGGGAGTCTAGAACCAGGCGGCACAGTCTCAGGATATGGGGTAGACAATTTAGGACTGAGATAAGGAAAGATTTCTTCACTCAGAGGGTGGTCTACTACAGGAGGCCTAGTCACTGAATATATTCCAGAAAGTGATTGAATCATTTTTAGACTTTAAAGGAATCAAGGGCTATATGGAGAAGGCAGAAATATGGAATTGGGATTGAAGATCAGCCATGATCACATTGAATGGCACAGCAGGGCTGAATGGCCTATTTCTGCTCTGAATTCCATGTGATTTTGCAACAGTGACCACGGGTAGGATGTTACCCTGAGCTGCAGTGACCATCCCTGCCCCACATGGACTGAGTGAGTGGTAGAACAGGGGGTGGGGACATTGGATTTCTCCCCCATTCAGGAGATCTCAGCCTCGAAAGATTGTCCAACAGCAGCAATAGGTGCTGCTGGAAATCCGGGCATCTCCACAAAGTTCCGCAATGGATAACAGAGTGAGGCATATCCCCGGCTTTTACAGTGTCAAGAGATCAGGCCCTTCCTCAAAAAGAACTCCCATCCACAGTAGGTGGGGTAAATTGAATATTTTCAAGCCGAGGTGGATAGACTCTTGAGAGGCTATTCAGTAAGATCTAATTACTCCACGATTTCTGTCTTTATTCAATAATATCTAATTACTCCACATTTTTCTGTCTTTCACCCTCTTTGCTTATCAAAAATCTACTACCTCTGTCTTGAGGTAAGACTCCGTTTCCTCTACTTTTTGGCCACGTTTTCTCCTCATCTCTGTCTCAAACAGGCACAGCCTTATTTTGAAAGGGCAACCCTTGTTCCGGGGAAGATGAAATAAAATTCCCTTTCTGAATTCAGTCAGAAAAATGAGACGTTTTCAAGGATAACGGATATGGGATGAGATACAAAGTAGAGATTATTTTGGTAACTGAAAACAAGTAGGATGAAGCCGAACAAGAAGTTGAAAAATCCACAAGGAAATATGAGCGGAAATCCAGGAGAACATTGTAGCAGAAACCAGAGTGACAACTAATCAGTATGACTGGCTCACAAACGTAATGAGTGATTATAGCAAAGGGCTTACCCTGAACTGCCCTGAAACAGCCCCAGGAATTGCTTTTTTTTTCATTGGGGAAGCCAGTGACATCTTGGTAATATTATTGGACTAGAAATCCAGTAGGCTTGGATTTTGCATTTTCTCCCCGTGACTGTGTGGGTTTCCTCTGGGTACTCCCACAGTCCAAAGATGTGCAGGTTAGGTGGATTGGCCATGCTAAATTACCCCGTAGTGTCATGGGACGTGCAGGCCAGGTGGGTTAGCCATGGGGAAATGTGGGCTTACAAGGATAGTATAGGGGTGTGGGTCTGGGTGGGATCCACTTCAGAGGGGCACTGTGGACTCGATGGACCAAATGGACTGCTTCCACATAGTACGGATTCTAGGAATGCTCTGGGATCATGGTTTCAAATCTCACAATGGCAGATGGTAAAATTTGAATTCAATAAAAAGCTGGTCTAATGGTGACTATATAACTGCTGGATTGTCGTAAAATCCATTAGGTTCACTAATATCCTTCAGGGAAGGTAATCTGCTATCCTTAGCTGGTCTGGCCTACAGTCACTATACTTAGGCCTTAGGGTTATACATAGGCCTCCCAGTAGCCAGTGGGAGATAGAGAATCAGATATGTAGGCTGATCATGAAAAGATGTAAAAACAACAGGGTTGTTGTAGTAAGTATCTTAACTTCCCTCAATATTGACTCAGGCTCCATTAGTGCCAGGAGCTTAAATGGGGCATAACTTGTTAGGTGGTGCATACAGGACAGTTTCTAGAAACAGTATGTAGATAGTCCAAGCAGGGACCATGCCATAGTAGAGCTGGTATGTTGAATGAGCCTGGCCAAGTGATCAAAGCTTCAGTGGTGGAGCCTTTTGGGAACAGTGATCATAATTCTCTAAGTTTTATCAAAGTAATGGATAAGGATAAGACTAGTCCTCGAGTGAAAATTCTAAATTGGGGGAAGGTTAATTACTATAGTATTAGGCAGTAACTACAGAAATCAGACTGGGGCAGCTGTTTGAAGGTAAATCCATATTTGACATGTGGGAACCTTTCAAAGAGCAGTCAATTAGAGTTCAAGATCAGCGTGTTCCTGTGTGTGAAAGATAAGGATGGCAAGATTCAGGAACTCTGGGTGACAAGAGATATTGAAAAGTTTAGTCGAAATGATAAAGGAAGAATACGTAATGTTTAGGAAACAGAAATCAGATAAAGCCCTTAAGGAATATGAAGGAAGCAGGAAAGAAGTTGCACAAGAAAATCAGAAGGCTACAAGGTGCCATGAAATGTTCCAAATCAAATAGGATTAAGGAGAATCCCAAGGCATTTTATATGTATATTAGGAGCAAGAGGGTAGCTCAGGAGAAAGGTAGATCCACTCAAGGGCAAAGAAGGAAATGTATATGTGGAGCCAGAGGAAGTGGATGAGGTCCTTAATGAGTATGTTGCACTGGAGAAGGAGAATAGGGGAAAGACATAGATGATGGTAAGATTAATGAAGGAAAAATTGATATTCTAGAGCATGTCAATATTAAGGAGGTGGTGTTGGACAACTTGAAAGACATGAAGATAGGTAAGTCACCAGGGCCTGATGAGATCTATCCCAGGATACTGAGAGAGGCAAGAGAGTAGGTTGCTGGGGCCTTGACAGAGATCTTTGGATCCTCTTTAGCCACAGGTGAGGTCCAGGAGACTGGAGAATATCCAACATTGCGCTTCTTAGAAACAACAGAGAAAATCCAGGAAATTATAGGCCAGTGACCCTTAGATCATTGGTAGGGAAATTACTGGAGAAGGTCCTTACTTGCATTTGGAAAAGAGTTGACCTATTAGGGATAATCAGAATAGCTTTCGTGGGGAGAGGTCTTGTCTCACAAATTTGACTGAGTTTTTTGAGGAAGTGACAAAGATGATTGATGAGGATAGGGCAGCAGTTGTTCACTGCATGGACTTTACTAAAGCATTTGATAAGGTTCCTCATGGTAGGCTGTTCCAGAAGAATAAGTCACATGGGATCCATGGTGAGTTAGTAAGACAGAGGATAAAGTTTTTGAGAACAAAAACAGAAGTTGCTGGAAAAGCTCAGCAGGTCTGGCAGCATCTGTGAAGAAAAAACATCAGAGTGAACATTTCAGGTCCAGTGACTCTTCCTCAGAACTGATGGTAGCTGGGAAGACATTGGTTCATATGCAGAAAATAGGGAGGGGGATGGGGTAGGGAGTAAACAAAAGGATAGAACCCGAAGAGAGAGAGAGCAGTTGGACAGACAAAGTTGCTAACAATCAGGCTGGGAGGGTGCGTAGTTGTTAATGGGGACTGTTAGTGACTAAAAATAGGTAGTGCATAATGGCAGACTATGTGATAACAAGGCCTGGTGTGTGGGATAGGGAGCAGGACATGGGAGAATTCAGGCCCTAAAATTATTGAACTCGATATGGAGTCCGGAGGCCTGCAGGGTCCCCAAGCGGAAAATGAGGTGTTGTTCTTCCAGCTTGCATTGAGCTTTGCTGGGACACTGCAGCAAGCTTCAGACAGAGATGTTGGCCAGGGAACAGGGTGGTGCTTTAAAGTGGCAGCCAGCAGGTAGCTTAGGGTCTTTTTTGCAAGTAGAACGTAGATGCTCTGCAAAGCAGTCACTCAATGTACGCTTCATTTCCCCAATACAGAGGAGATCACATTGTGAGCAGCGAGTGCAATAGACTAGATTCTGGGAAGCGCAAGTGAGGTGTTGCTTCACCTGGAAGGTATGTTTCCAGCCTCTCTTCAAACGTTGCACTGCCATCCCAGGAATCAGTCTGGTATATCTTTTCAAAAACAAAGTTGCTGGAAAAGCTCAGCAGGTCTGGCAGCATCTGTGAAGGAAAAAAACAGAGTTAACGTTTCGGGTCTGGTGACCCTTCCTCAGAACTGCTCAGTTCTGAGGAAGGGTCACTGGAACCGAAAAGTTAATTTTGTTTTCTCCTTCACAGATGCTCCCAGACCTGCTGAGCTTTTCCAGCAACTTTGTTTTTGCTTCTGATTTACAACATCCGCAGTTATTTTGGTTTTTATTTGGTATATCTTTTATTTGTCAGACTGCGTATCCAACATTCTGTACTGGGGGCGGGGGGGGGGGTTGCGGCGGTGGTGGTGTTAGCAGAACACTCTTCCAGTTACATATTGGGAGCAAACACCACAGGTTTCATTCACTTGCTGCCTACCCCGTCCCCCTGAGGTTGAGCCACAGTTTTTGCAACTTTGGTGTTGGGCTCCTGCCCACATATGTGCTCTTGTTCTACATCCACTGTATGTGGCTCATTTGGTCAAGCTCTCCTTGAAATCAAAGGTTCTGGACTCAAGGGGATCTGAGTGCAGGCATCTGTACGGAAAGCTGGATAAACTCAACAGGTCCATAACGCCATAAGACAGAGAACAGAAGTAGGCCATTCAGCCCCTTGAGTCTGCTGCACCATTCAGTGACATCATGGCAGATCTGATAATCCTCAGCTCCACTTTCCGGATCAGGCAGCACCTCTGAGGAGAAACACAAACATGTCTTATGGAAAATCATCAGCCTGAAAGGTTAAACTCTCCCTCTTTGTACGTTGGGGTTTTACTACGTTGAGAGCCCTATGTAAATGCAGGTTGTTTTTGGCGTGCTGCAGTCCTCACTCTGATAAGGAACTGGGAACATCACCTTAGCACTGTAGGTGACAGATTAGCATCAAAACAGTTACCTGCTTCTCTCTGTGTTTAGGTGAATGGGCACGGCTCACATTGGACACCAAAACTGCCTACTGGTTCTTGACAGTCTCCGAGGACGCCCGCTCTCTGACGTTCGGATATGACCTGCAGCCTTACCCGTCCAATCCAGAGAGGTTCAGGACCCACCGTCAGATTCTCTGTTGCCAGAGCTTCACCTCGGGTTATCACTCCTGGGTAGTGCAGGCTGAAGGGATCGCCTGGGGCATAGGGATTGCATATGGGAGTATAGCGAGGGAGGGCGAGTGCTCAGACCTGACCAACTCCAGCAAAGCTTGGTGCATTCACCTGAATCACGGCACCCTCACAGCCAGTCACAATGGGCTACACACCGACATCATCAAGGAACCATTGCACACCAGGTTCCAGGTTGAGTTGGATTATGAGGCAGGCTACGTGTCATTTTACCAAGTGGGGGACGCTGCCCAACACTTGTATACATTTCGGACCATGTTTAGCGAGCCCGTATTTCCAGCATTCTCTTGCTTCTACATTTCCTCCATAAAACTGTGTTAAACACAACGTTACAGGGGATTTTACAGCATAGACTCAGGCCAATCAGCCCATGAACCAAGTGCTTCATGAGGCCTGTCCCACATCAGCATATCCTTCCTCCATCACAGATATTATCCACCTTCCCCTGAAATGCATCTATGCTGTTCACCTCCTTGTCACTCTCGAAAGAAACAGGCCTCCTCCTGAACTCGCTACGGGATTTCATTATTCGCAATTTAACTTGCATTAACGGGTAGAGAATGCTGGAAATATTCCATGAGGCACATCTGCCACTGGCCTTGATCACAAGTGAAGGCATTTTCTTTACTTCAATCTTGGCGATGTTTCCCTTTTCTTAAAGTTAAGGATATCGAATTTTTTTTAAAAAAAATCTGTTCTTGGAAAGTGAGTATTTTTTTGGCCTTGCCTAATTGAGCAGACCCTGATGATGAAACACCTTCCTCACCCTCTGTAGTTACTATTCTATTTTGTTGTTGTTTTATACAGCTCAGAGCCTGGCCCAGGCCCTTGAAGAGGGAAGTAGAGTCAAGAGTCAAACACGTTGGTTTGTGTCTGGGATCACATTTAGACCAGACAGGGTAAGGATGGCACATTTCCTGTGAGGTGGTGTAGACCGAGCCTCTGGAAAGTCATTCACCCGACTTGTCCCCAAGGAGCTACTTGTTTGTGGGGCCAGGTTAAAGCCACGACTTTCAGATGAACTTATAGCCAAGATCACAAATGCAGCTCAAATTATTCATCAGCAAATGGAGGTTGTTTTCTACAAGGTATTTAATAAATTCAACAATGCATTGCAAAGCATCATGGCCATGTTGAAGCCTAGAAATTTGAACACTATCATATCTGAAACTTTCTGAATTACACTTTCATATGCCATTTACAGTTTGCCACTATTATGTGTACGTCCAATATTACTAAAGCTTAAAGTTATGCAAGTACGTTATAAACAAACCCATTTCAATAGAAACATGGACACAATCTTATGTATGTTCAGTCATGGGATGAGAGTGTCATTGGCCAGAATAGCATTTATTGCACATCCTGAATTGCCCAGATGGCTATTAAGAGTGAACCACATCGGTCTGCAGTCATGTGGACAGAAGAACATTCAAATCGACAGCAAGAGTTGGCAATTCAGCCTTTGAGCCTGATTCTTCACCTCAATCCACATTCTTTCACCCCTCTGCATAACAAGAATCTGTCTACTTCTGTGTTAAAAATGTACAAGGTCTCTGCTTCCATCAACTTTTCAGGAAGACAGTTCGAAAAACTCAACCTCTCAGAGAAGAAATCTTTGTCTCAGATCTGTTAAAAGGGATTTTTAAATAGTGACCTCCGTTGTACATTCTCTCCACATCTACCTGGTCAATATCCTTCAGGATTTTACATCTTTCAATCAAGTCACCTCTTATTCAGTGGATACAAACCTGTCTCATCCTTTCCACAGAATTCAACCAGCCCATTTCAAGTATTAATCTAGTAAACCTTCTCTGACCTGCCTTCAATACAATTACATCCTTCCTTAAATAAGGAGGCCAATATTGTACAAAGTACTCCAGGCGCAATCCTTCTTTAATAAAAAGGTTTCAGACCCACTCTCCTCTCTCTCAAACTTCATGTAAAATTCAATCATATAATGATTGCTGCTAACTACAGGAATCTTCACACTGAAATCACTATTTAATCTTATCTCACTATTCAGTACAAGGTCGAGTACAACCTCCTCTCTGCTAAACTCCAGAACATGTTGATCCGAGAAACATTTTATGAAATACTTAATCTAAGTGAGAAGTCATGCGACACCAGGTTATGGTCCAACAGATTTGTTTAAAATCACAAGCTTTCAAATTGCTGCCCCCTTGTCAGGTAAAGGAGCAGCACTTTGAAAGCATGAGATTTTAAATAAACCTGTTGGACTATAACCTGGTGTTGTGTAACTTCTGACTATGTCCACCCCAGTCCAACACATCATGGCATCTCCAAATCATGGCTACTTAATCTAGGCTACTCTTTCTTAGCTGACTTTTCCAGATGATATGCAAATTAAAACCTCCTCTGATTGTGATGCCTTTCTGATCAGTTCTCATTATTTCTTCCTTTATACTAAAATTACTTTAAAAATTATTTTAAAAAAATACTTAAATCCCTACCGTATGGTTACTGTTGGGGCCTGTTCATCATGCTCACAAAAGACTTCTTGCCTTTTTCATTTCCACCCAAACTATTTCCATATTTTCGTTTCTGGAACTTGGGTCATCCTTCTCTATCGTGTTAATGCCATCATTACGCAGCAGAGCCACCTCACCACCTTTCTTTTTTAAACTTTCCTATCATTTCACAATGGCCTGTACCCTTCAAAGTTCAGGTCCCATTCCATATCATCCTGCAATCACAAATCTGTAATGGTTACCGGATCGTAATTAGTCATTTCTGTTTGCACTCAGTTCGTCTGCCTCATTTCAAATGCTATGTACATTCAGATACAGAGCCTTTAGTTTAACCCTTTTACTCTTTGTGAATTCTAATTTTATCCATTGATTGGCTTTAGATTCATATGCTCGAAGCCTTCCTGTCATGGTCCATTAGCTCAGCTATCTGGGCAGCAATGTGGAGTGACACCAACAGAATGGGTTCAGTTCCTGAACTGGCTGAGCTCATTGTGAAGGTCCCATCCTCTGTAGTGACCCTCAGGTTAAACTCACCACCAGTTGCCTCTCTCTAATGAAAGAGCAGCTATATGCTCCTCTGGCACTAGAGTGACTTTACCTCACTTTACAGCCCTTTGCAGTAAAGAATTCTATAGATTCATTTCACTCAGAAGAAAGTTTCTCCTTATCTCAGTCTTAAATGTCAACTCCTTATTCTGAGATTATGTCCTCTGGTCTGAGAATCTCCTACAACAGGAAAAAGCCTCTCTGCATCTATCTTGTAAAGTTCCCTAAGAATCTTCTGTTTCATGGAGGTCTCATTCTTCTATATTCCCAAGAGTTCAAGCCTAATCCATTCAACTTCCTCATAAGTCAGTCCCTCCATACCTGGTAACAGCCGAGTGAACTTTCTCTGGACTGTCTCCAATATCAGGATATCTTTCCTTAGATAAGGGGCTCAGAACTGTTCACAATATTTCAACTGTGGTCTGATTAGTGCCTTGTGCAGTTTTAGCAAAGCCTCCCTATTTTTATACTCCATTCTCTTTGAAACAAAGGTCAACATACCATTTATCTTCCCCATAATCCATTGTGTTTGGACGCTAACATTTTGAGATTCACATGCGGACTCCCTGATGCCTCTGTTCTGTAACCTTCTGCTGTCTTTCTCTATTTAAATAATATTCAGCTTCTCTATTCTTCCTGTAGACTGGAGATTTTATCCTGTTCAAAAGCTGGGATCAGATACAGCATCTGGCAGTGTGGTAACTGTATTACTGAAGTCTCTGTACGCATCTTAAGAGTTTGCCAACCTGGTTCAGAGAGGTTTCACCCAGCAGCTAAACCAAGGTGCCATTCAACCCTCTCAGTGCATTACTGACAGTGAGCAGCACCTACTTCTCCTTTAAACCATGGACAGTGATGGATTTCACTCCCATGAAAGAATAGGAGGTTTTCACCTTGATAGTCCATGTCCTATCCCTTGGATACGACCCAAAGGGCGAAGAATTAGGTGCACTGTCTGTTTTGCCAAACATTGCAGCTAATTTATGCATAGTAAGGTGCCACAAGTACTGATGAAGGAGGAACATTGTCTCGAAGCCTCTGTTGCACTTCTTCATTAACCGTTTGTCAGAGATAATGAGACTCTTGCCTTCCATCGAGAACATCTGACACCTTGGCTCAATCTTGACTTCACAACGGTGCCTTCAATATGGCTGCCTCCAAGTTGACCCTGAAAGAACATTGAGGGTGGGGGCAGCTTTGGCCCAGTGATTTGATGCTTCTGGCAGATACACAATAACTCACACCTCAAACACACCAGATCAACAAACTAATACTTGGCTGTTTCTTTTCCTCACGCCTCCCTCCCCATCGCCATGAAGCCCAGAGACTTAATCCCAGTTTGGGGCTCACAAGTAGAGCAAGCCTTACAGGGGCAGTCAGGGGCCTTAGTCTCTGTGGAGGGAGGGCTTAGGAGAATTGGAAGAACCTGCTTTTTTTTTGTGTGCTACTCATAGCTATGTCTGATTTTGATGGGACAGGGTAATTGTTACTATCCATAAGAAAATACAAGTATTTGAAATAAAATTATTTCTCCACCATTCCGATAGTGTCGAGATGACTTGGGGATTGTTCTTTACTGATTTGTGTCATGATTACTGTAATTCATTATGAAGGGGGCAAATCCTTTGTAACAGATATTTTACTGACTTTCACCAAATGTCTTCAGATATGCTGAATGTGTATTGTCTTCTGGAATCAAAAGGGATCCTTCAGTAAATGAACTATTAATTCTGCAGCTGTTAAAGTTGCCTCCTGTTTTGATTATGAAGTGGAACTATTGGAGTAAAAGCAGATTTGATAGCTAGACAGAATAAGGCCATCTGACCATTAGAAATAGGAACGAGTAGGCCATTCAGTCCCTTGAGCCATTCAATAGGATAATGGCTGATCTGACATTCCTCATATCCACTTTCCTGCCTTTTCCCTATAACCTTTGATTCCCCTACTCATTATCTATCCATCTATCTACCACTTAAATATACTCAGGTCTCTGACCCCACAGCTCTCTGTGGCAAGGAGTCCCAAAGACGCACAGCCCTCTCAGAGAAGAAATTCCTCCTCACCTCAGTCTTAAATTAGTACCCCGTAATTCTGAGACAACATCCTCTGGTCCTAGACTCTCCCATGAGGGAAACATTCTCTCAGCATTTACTCTGTCAAACCCCTTAAGAATCTGATACGTTTCAATGAGGTCACCACTCATTTTTCTAAACTCCAGAGAGTCGAGACCCAACCTGTTTAACCTTCGCTCATAAGGCAATCCCTCCAACTTGAAGGAAAAATCCATTTCCTAGCATAATTCCACACTTCCTATTTTAGGCATTCCATTTTAAAATTCCATTTCCTAGCACAAGGCTGTTGTGGAGTTTTCTCTCAACTCTAAGCAGAGATTATTTCCACGGCCAGAACCTTGAAGTGCCCCTGGGAACAGGAAGGGAGATGGCCGGCCAAACTGAAATGGCCAAGTGACACCAAATTTTAGAATCCCGATGACCAAGTTAACTTTGCGGATACATCCTTTACAAGCTTAAAGCAAGGTTGAATTTCCCGATGTGGTCCAATGGTGAATCCGTTCACACGCGTTTGTATCTCATGAGCACAGCAGATCACTGGATTAAAGTTTCCCTTTCCAATTAGGTTCACCGTGAGCAAACAATGCCCACCTTCCGATTCCTGACCGCGTGCAAGCTGATGAGGTACTGACCCTGCTGGACTTTGGGGTGAAAAGCCGATGCTTTGTCCTGTTGGGGGAAACATCCTTCCTTCCATGTCATGGTCATGACCAATTTGGGCTGGTGGTGGTCGTCAAAGCACCCGGAGCATAGAGTGTGACTGAAGGAGGGAGAGTGGGGTGTAGTTGGCACTGACTCAAAGTGGACATCTGTCTGGGAGGCAGTCCTCCAGGGAAGAGTGGAAATGTTTACCTGCAGGTGTCCACTGAGAATCCAAGAGATGCTCCTTGGCTTCCAGGGAATGAATAGCTGCCCCTTTAACTATGGCGCCAATATCTTTAGTAGCTGGGAGGTACTTGTGGAGCTGAAGAATTCTTTGACATTCCCCCATCACCCCTGCCCCATGAGATTCGACAGGCTCCATATGCATGTCTATACATTGAGCAAAGAACTGTATAAGAGACTGCCTCTTGTCCAGAAATGACACATCCAGTACTAAATTTAGGTAAAATCACCATAGTCCTGCTCCATCATTAGAGAGAGCGAGAGACGACTGGTGGTGGTTTAACCTGAGGGTCACCACACCTCAGGTGAGGAGAGCCCTTCATGGTAACCTCAGCCAGTGCAGTGTTGAACTCTCACTTCCCATCAGTGACTGTCTGTCCAGCCAACTGAGCTAAACAACCCCATACTGAATGTAAACTGTATAACCGAAGAATAAAAAAACCCAAAAGGACTGCGGAAGCTGTAAATCAAGAACAAAGACAAAGGTTGCTGGAAAAGCTCAGCAGGTCTGGCATCATCTGTGAAGGAGAAGACAGAGTTAACGTTTCGGGTCCGGTTCTGAGGAAGAGTCACCGGAACCGAAACGTTAACTGTGTTTTCTCCTTCACAGATGCTGCCAGACCTGCTGAGCTTTTCCAGCAACTTTGTTTTTGTAACCGAAGAATCAACCCAACATGTGATAAAACTTGTTACACATGCTTTAAAATGTCTGCTCCACATTTTAACACTGGCTCTTTCTGTAAAGTAAGTTTTGCCTACTTTACTGAGTCCACACCCACTCTTAAGCAATCAAACACAGTGAGCATCAGTAGTAAACAGGTTTACATCAAATGCACATCAATTAAACCCTACATCTGTAATTTCCATGTGAGAAGCAGTTTATCTTACCACAAAGTTAATGGAAAGCTGCAAGATCTTCCTTGATGTTTGGACCCTCTCACCCGTTAAAATTCATTCCCACAAAGCTGATTTAGAGACAGTTAAATAGATTGATACATGAACAAAGTTTATATGGAGTTTAATTATTCTACACCAAACATAAGT